CGGCTGGTGGAGATCAACGGGCGGAACGTGGAGAACAAAAACCGGGATGAGATTGTGGAGATGATCCGACAGTCGGGGGAGACGGTGCAGCTGAAGGTGCAGCCCATCCTGGAGCTGAGTGAGCTGAGCCGCTGCTGGCTGCGGGGCGGCCAGGGGACATGCCGTGCTGCCTGGGATGTGAGTAACGCCGCCCCGCCGTGGGCGCTGGCGGGCCCGGGCTCTGCCAGCATCCTCACGGGGGTGTTTGGGTTGGCAGGGGCCGTGGGAAACAGCGGGTGCCGCGGCTGCTCCGGCCAGGAGCGATGCACAAGGAGGAGTGGGAGGCTGTGGTTGTGATGCAGTGGTGATGCATCAGGTCTTGCAAATCATCACTGGTGGGTTTTGCCCCTCAAAGGAGCTCAGGGTGCTGTTGGGTTGAGTTTTCCTCCTGCCAGAGGTGCCACAGGAGAGCCCAGCTCTGCGTGGCCTGCGGGAAGTCTGTCCCCATCTCTTTGCTGACGGAGCACAGTCCAGCTGAGAAGGGAGCTTTGCTCCTCACTGCCAGGAAATTCCAAAGGCTACTTTGCAGAAGGACACTGCCTCCTCCACTGCCCACGCTGGCGTCCCCCGCTGGGATCCTCCCCGGGACTGGGGCAGGCACACAGTGCGCCAGGGGCCGGGAGCTGCTGGCGGCGTGCGCAGCCCTGCGTACGCGGCTGCTACTGCTGCTGTATAAATAGAAACTTAATGGCTGGGTGACCCACATCCCTCATGCCTGCTGCCCAGCGCTGCTGACCCTGCCACGGGCTAACCAGCGTCCTGGCCAGCCGGGCACCCCAGCAGAGCCCCCCAAATGCCAGCATCCTGCAGGGCTGGACCCCCTCCATGGTGGCAGGGGGTGCAGCAGCATGGCACATATTTGGGTATTAGTAACTGGGCTTGTTTAGTGTATTTTTAAGCCTTCTTTGGGGGAGGAGGGTGCCTGCGCCTGCAGAGCAGGTTGCTTGCACTGGGGAGAGCCCCCCTGTGCATGGCGAGGCTCTGTGCCTGCGGGGTGGTGGCCAGGACGGAGTGAGGGTGAGCACGGGGCTCCATGTGCTCCTGGAGCAGATGCCGGCGCTGCGGGATGGAGTCTGCGCCAAGGCAGAGCCGTGGCTTTCCCGCAGCTCCTCCCCGGAGCCCTGCGGGTGTCACCGGGCACTGCTGCCTGGATAACCCTGCTGGGACAGCCCTGTGTGGGCACGGCTGTGGCGGTGTCGCAGCGCCAGGTGTGTGTCGGATGTCTGCACACACGGAGCCAGCGAGGAGCTGCTTGTGCCTTCCAGGAGCAGCCGGCTGGGCTGGCAAGGGGGAGAGGAGACAGCGGTGCCCTTGGGGCTGCATGAGAGAGGCTGCAATGTGCAGCCTTCTGCCAGAACATGGTGTGGTTTGATGGCATCAGCCGGTGGGAGCTGGCCAGAGGGCTGGCAGTGACTGTCTCGTGGGGTTGCCACTGCAGCACAGGCACCTCCAGGTGCCTCCTCCTCTTGCCTGGTGCACCAGAGTGACACGCTGTGGTCCTGCTGGAAGCACAGAGTGGGGTGCTGGCTGCAGTTGGGGGTCCCTCACATGAGGTGCTGGCGCACAGGGAGGCCCAGCTCTCCCCCAGGCCCCACTAAGCTCCCTGGAACGTTTCTGGTCCTAATTTAAATAAAAATTATCCTTTTTGAAACAGGAAATTATAGACATATTTTGGGCTGTTGCTCTGGAAGCCCCTCCCCAGCTGGAGTAGGATGGTGCTGGGCTCTCTGTGCACCACGGGGATTTAACCACATCACTGGGTCACCCTTGTCCCCACACACCCAGCTGGGCAGTGGCAGCACCCTCTGTGTCCTGGGGGCTGTCAGTGCTGTGGGGTGATGGGGTTCCAGCTGGTGGCACAGCGTGGCCAGGCATTTGGACTGGGGTGAAACCCCTTCCATGTCCCAGCCTTGCTCCCAGTGTGGGGCAGCCGGGCTGGCTCGGCTCCACACTCCTGTTTATTTATTTACTGGCGAAATTCCTCAGGCAGGGCCCAGGCATGCGCCGGCCCAGCAGAAATATTCCAGAAACGCCTCTGACCGCTCTGGTGCTTCAGCAGGGCCATGGGCATCCAGCAACTGTGCTGGCCAACCTTGTCTGTCCACAGGCACCCAGGTCCCTGCAGGACCTGCTGTCCCCAGGGTGCAAGGCCACTGTGCCATGGCGTGGCTGGATTCCCCATGTTCCACCAGGTTGATGAGTGTAGGACTCTCATCATGTCGGATGCACTTTTATAATTTTTCCATGCTCAGGAATTTCTTTGTCTGGCTCTTTTTCTGCTCTCACTGAGGGCTTGGTGCTGCTGGGGTATCCCAGTGTGGAAGGGTCCTGGGATGGGGCTTGTATCCAGTGGGCTCAGCCATGGGCCAGTGTGTGCCTGCTGAATTTCCTGGCTTAGGAATGAGAGAAATATGCTGGCCAAGCAGAAATGGCTGGACCAAACAGCTGGGCTGGACATCCCAGTGGAGTTGGCTGCATGCTTGTCCTACCTGGGGACGCCCATGTCACTGCAGACACTGTCTGCTGTGTTATACCAGCTCTACCAAGGGTGTTTGGTGTGGCCTGTCCCTTGTGCATTGGGGTGTGCCACCTTGTGCAGGACGTCCCCTTTCTTCCTCTGGGAATGTTTTTTTGCTCAGGGCACATCTGTCTCCCTTCAGTTGGGCAGGGGTGCTCAGGTGCCAGCTGGGGTCCCAGTGTGCCATGCCTGTGCCACCACTGCTCCTCCATGTCACCAGCATGCCTGGCTCCCTGCCACCAACTCCTACCAGCAGCACGGGGAGACCCCCGACCCCTGGCCTCTTGCTCACTCCTGCTCTTTCCAGGGAGACCTTGGACTTCAAGGCAGCTTTGCCATGAAAACATCTTTACCATGGGCTGCTGGGGTGCTGTCTGTCCCCAAGAACATTTTGAGGGGATCTCATGTTCATGGGAAAGCCAGAGGAGGAGCAAGAAGCGTCAGGGTTGCACCGCCTGGCACGCCGGGGTGTGGGATTGTGCCATCCTTCGAGGCACAGAGCCGTCCCTGGCTCCCCCAGCTCCACAGCTGCTCTTGGCCCAGAGGTGTTTCCTCTGGTGGACGGAGGCCGGGCAGTTCCCCCCGCGGCGGGGCCCACATCACTTCCTCTGGCAGTGGCGGCAGTGACGGTGCTGGTGGCGAGGCCTCACTGCTCGTGTGTCCCCCCCAGCTCTCCCTCCGGCTGCTGCTGCGCCGGCAGGGCCCTCGCATTCCTGGGCTATTTTTAGGGTGGCCCTATCAGCCCAGCTGTCCCTGCTGCCGGCTGCCGCCCCACCAGTGCCTCTCCCGTGCAGGGCCGCGCTCGCCCCGGTGGACACCCTGCTCCTGGCTCCCTCCGGTAAGGTGGGGACCCCCGGCGTGGCCAGCACAGCTTGGGGGAGCACGAGAGGGGGTACGTGGGAGACAGTGCTGGTGCTGGGATTGGAGATTGAGAGGCTGAACCTACCCCTGGGGTGCTTTGGGGTTGTTTGTTGTGGGGACCTCGTGGCCGGTGCTCTCTGGAGACCTTTGTGGGACACTTTGTGGCAGTGCCAGGCTGCTTTTGGAGCTGGGAGTGCTGCAGGCAGAGGGTTTGGGGGTTCTGACCCACAGGTGGGTTTGTCTCCAGGCCCTCATGCTCAGCATGTGCTCCCAGGCACTGGCATTTTACACCATGGTGGCAGTTTGGGGGGACAGGGGACCCTCAGGGATGTACTCCCAGACTGCTGGGTTGCTTTGGTCGCCAGGTGCTCCCCTGTGCCACGTCTGGCCCACAGAGGGGCTTCTCCCCACTGGCCACTGTCACAACTGGGGTTGGAGAGCGGGTTCCATCCAGGGCAGCGGGTCCCACCAGAGCTGCTCGGCTGCTGGCACGGGGTCAGGCTCAGAATAAACCCAGGCTGTCAGGGCAAGCAGGGAGCTGGGGCAGAAAATATCCCTTCCCTCACCCTGGCATCTGCTTACCACAGTGGACTGACCTGCTTGGGGGAGCGGGGCCACAGTCCTGCAGGCTGACTAAGGGGGTTTTTTTAACACAGTGAGTTTTTCTGGGTCTGAGACTGGTCACCTGTCTGTCCCCAGAGCCCCTCCTGTGGGCACTGTTTATATGCTGAGCAGGTCCAGGTGGGCTCAGACCCCCCATTCCTGCGGATCCCAGGTGGGGAAGGGCACGTGCCCGTACCCTGTGCCGTGGTTTGGCGTTGTGTGTGCTGTCCCCAGTCCGTCTCACCTCTCCCTCTCTCCCCAGCCAGGGCTGCGGCTCCATGAGACATCACCATGGCGTTCTCATCCCGGTTTGCGTTCTGGGAGCAGAAGGGAAGTCTCTCTTGCATGTTTGCCTGTGCCCCACATTTGGGTCACGCTGCTGACCAGCTCCCCCAGCTTGCCCAGTGCTGGCACCATGTTTGGAGCAGCACTCCCGGCCTCACTGTGCTGCGGTGACAGGGGCTGTGCTGGGCAATCAGGAGCTTGGCCAGGGCTGGGGTCACCAACACAGCCATGCATGTGATCACTAACACCATCACTAACGGCTTTGCAAGTGTCTGGTGCAGCCCCTAACACAGTGTGAGCCACCCCAGAGCCACCTGCCAGCCAGGAGCTGCGGTGCGATGGCAGGAGTTGGGGTGCGTTGCCCACAGGATGCACCACACACTGCCACTGCAGTGTCACAGCTGAGTCCTGGCACTCAGAGACACAGCTCAGGGCAGGGTTTGTCTGCCCACCCCCCCAGAGGCCCCTGGTTTCCCTGGGTCAGCAGGGATCTGGCACGTCCCACGTGCGGCTGCTGCAGAGATTAGTCAGTGACACTTAAAACGTGCAGTGACACCGGGGGGGTGGCATGTAGAGTGACAGAGCCCTGCAGGAGGGGTGGTGGGACTCTGAACCACCTCCCTCACTGGCTGCACATGGTGAGAGGGGCCAGGCCAGGCAGGCAGAGCACATACCTCTCCCACCTTTGGGGTTTGCCATAACCAGGGTGCATCTCTGTGCTTCACCCCCGTTTTTTTGGCTGATGGGAAGCCTGGAAGGACACATGTCCTTGTCCCTGAAGTGGGCTGCAAATTGGGGCTGGCATGGAGTGATGGTCCCAGGGGTTTTCCAGCAGCAAGGCCCCACAGTGGGCTGAAACACGCTCCTCTTGTTTGTCTGACCCTCAGGTCAAGGACGAGGATAAATCTTTAGCTGTGAAAAGACCCGTGAAGGAAGACGGGGCTGTAAGTGTCACAGGGCATGGGCAGGGTGGAGCTGTCGGGAATGGGCTCGTCCTTGGTGGGAACAGCCCCTGTGACAGGGCCTGGGGACACCATGAAGTGTCATGGGCTTAGTGATGCTCTGAGCACTGAGTTTTATCCCCGTGCTGACAGCCTGAGGGTTGAAAGGTTTGTGGGGCAGGGAGGTCACCACTGCTCCCTGCCGTGGGATCCCTTGTGGGGCTGTAGGTTGGTGGGGAAGGGTGCTGTGTCCCCAGTTCTGGGGTCTGGCCAGGAGCTCTGCTCCATGGCCAGGCAGAGCCCTGGGCACCACCACGTCCCAAGGAGCAGTGGAGGCTGGAGCTCCACTCACACTGGTGTGTGTCATTGTGGCTGCAGTCAGAGAGCCCAAAGGACGCAGCATCTGCACCTCTGAAAGCTGAGACCCCAAAAGCTGAGCCTGTGAAAGCTGAGCCCCCAAAACCTGAGCCTGTGAAGAGCCCTGAACCCGTGAAGAGCCCTGAGCCACCTCCTGGGAGAGGGAAGAGCCCAGAGCCACCTCCTGGGAGAGGGAAGAGCCCAGAGCCAGTGCTGAACGGGGCAGCTGTGAATGGGCTGGAGGGCCCGGCCACCGAGGCACAGGGAGATGATGGTCAGGGGCTCTCCCGCCGCAAGGTGGTCCGGGTGGTGCGCAAGGTGGTGCGCAAAGTTCTGCCAGGGGAGGACACTGGCAGTGCCAAGGAGCCAGGCCGAGATGCCAAGTCTCCTGAGCCAGTGCCACCCCCAAGGAAAGAGGAAACAGGCCGTACCAGTGTCCCAGCTCCCCCAGCCCCGCCACCTCCCCCCACCACAGTGCCTTCAGCCAAGCCGGAACCCAAGGATGAGATCTCAGAGGGGCTCAAAACCCTCATGGCAAAGGGCAAAACCAAGGAGCACCGGCCACGGCTCCGGCTGGGGGACAGGCAGGAGAAGTCCTGTGAGCCGGCTGGTGGGGACACGAAGCTGTCCCCGTCCCCGGGCGCTGAAGCCAAACCAGAGCCACCAGTGCAGCTTTTGGGAGGAAAAGCAGAGCTGGCAAAGGCTTCTGCTCCGAAACCCACGGCCCTGGAGAGGCACAAGGTACTGGAGTGTGCACAGCTGGGGATGCTCTGACCCGGCAGGGGGTTGTGTCCCCAGTGCAGCATGGTGTGAGCTCACCTGCATGGTTTGCAGTGGTTTTGAGATGTGTGGTGTGGGTGGGAGTCACTTTTTTGGGGCGGTCATGTGTGCTGTGGCCACTCCATCATGCTGCCCCTTGTCTCCCCTCCATTTCATGTGGAGAAGAAGCTGCAGACCAGCGAGAAGCGGCCGACCCCTGTGAAAAATGTCCCGGCTGCTCCCCAGCAGGTGTGTAGGAGTGGTGACCCAGGTCCCTGGACACTGTGGGTACACGCTGGTACCCAGTTGTGCCTTCATCCTGGGACCCACCCCAAGCACTGATGGACTGCAGGGCTGGGAAAGCCTTTGCAATGGCCCTGCTGGTGCCCATGTGCCAGGGCTGTGAGGGCTGGGGGGCAGCTGGCCTGGAGCTAATGGTGCTCTGCCTCCAGGCTGCCCCTGGCCCTGCTTCCCCTGGCCCGGTATCCCTGCTGAGCCCGTCTGAGGAGGCGCAGCTCCGGCTGGAGAGGATCTTCACCACTTCTGTAATTCCAGAGGTTTTGGTGCTTGTGTGTCGCCTTCCCAGGGACAGGGAGGCATGAGCAGTGTGTGGCTGCCCAGGACATGCCATGTGCTCTGCACACAGTGACTGTATCCCCGTGTTTGGCTGCCAACCCCATGGTCCTTTTCTGGGTGACACTGGCAGCAGGGAATGGATGACCGGGGCTGTTGGTGGGTTTGGGGATCGTTGCCCAGACATGCTGAGGATGGGGAACTGCCAGCATCCCCGTAGTGCACACTGTGGCTGGGATGGATGATGTCCTGGTGGTGCTGTGTGATCATGGCCATGCTAGGGCCCTGTGGCTTGTCAGGATGCTGCTTCTGCTCTATGCCTCTCACCCCCTCTCTCCTTTCTCTCCTCCTTCCTTGCTGCCGTTAGCTGGACCCCACCACCTCCGCCTCGGCACCCAGCCAGGTACTGTACCCCTGTCCTCAGGAGCCCTCTGCCTCCACCAGCGACCCCCCGCCATCCTCTGTCTGCCGCTGGGCTGGCGTCTGCGCCCGCGCCTCGTGCTGGAGTGTAAGGCTTTCCCCATCCCACCCTGCTCCCTGGGCTGCCATGGGGCCGGCGGGTGCCAGGGCAGCCGGGGCTGGGTCCCTCTCCCCTCCCCAGCGAGGTCATGCCGGGAGGCCAGATGTGCCAGGAGGGTTCTCTCAGTGGAGGTGGCACAGCTGGGGCGGGCAGGGGTGTGGAGCAGGGTATGAAGGGGCAGAGTGCTGGCACAGGCAGGACGCATGGCTCGTGCTGAAGCAGCTGTGGCACGTGGTGCTGGCGGAGCTCAGAGCGGGGTCAGTGCAGTGACCCCCTGCCCCAGGGCTTTGGCAGCATGGCCTCGTGGCCAGTGTCATTCCCAGCCCTGTGTCTGTCCAGAACTGCACTGGACTTGCCACCCCACTGTGCACAGTGGTGGCCGTGGCACGAGGAATGCCCGCAGGGCTTGGCACAGCGGTGCTTTGCCTCCGCTCACTGCGCCTCGCCTCTTTCCGTGCTGTGTGCGGGGCAGGGCTGAGCCCTTCTCGCCTTCACTGCCGTCTCTCGGCCTCGCCAGGGTCCAGCGGACGATGCGCCGACAGCTCCCCTTGACCCCGTCCCTGCTGCAGCTCAGGTTTGGCTTTGGGGCTCGTCCTGCTCTCCTTGTTCCAGGGACATCCCCACTGTGCTGGCCACCAGCCTGTCCCATGTCAGAGCCCTGTGCCCTGTCCTGTGTGCCTCCATTACACGCCTCAGTGTGTCCTGTGTCCCTGCAGCATGTCCCTGCAGCATGTCCCATGTCCCCATAGCATGTCTGGTGTCCCTGCATCCTGACACGTGGCTGGCATGAGTGCCTGCTCTCAGGGCTGTGGTTTGGGAGCTTGGCCCCTCCAGGCTCCCCCGAGGTGGCTGTGGTGAATGTGTCTGGGGGTCACTGTGTCTTTGTGTCTGCCCCGAGCTGTGACAGGACCCTGGTGGTCTCTGCAGCCCTACGCCCACTGCGGTCCCCAGCAGACAAACCAAGGCATGTGCTGGGAGGGTTTGTGGCTTGTGGAGGTGGCCTGGCTGTTCAGCACATGGCCCTGTGGCCAGTCAGCCCTGCTCCTTCCAGCCCCAGGAATGAGGGGAAGGGGTGAGACAGACCAGGGGGGCAGGTCACCACAACCTCTCCACATCTGCTGTCTCACAGGCCAAGTCAGAGGAGCAGATAGCAGCTGAAGAGGCCTGGTACGAGACCGAGAAGGTGTGGCTGGTGCACAGGGATGGCTTCTCGTTGGGTGAGCCAGGGGCACTGCTGGGACACAGTACCCCATCCCTCCTGTGGCTCAGCAAGCCTCCCTGACCCCTCTGCGGTGTCCCTGGGGGCTGCCAGCGTGGCCCCTCTGAGTGCCCTGTGACCCTCACAGGCAGCCAGCTGCGGCCAGAGGCGGGCAGTCCCCTCCCCGAGGGCAAAGTGAAGGTGAAACTGGACCACGATGGAGCCATCCTGGAGGTGGAGGAGGATGATGTGGAGAAGGTAGGGCTGCAGGGTGAGGGCCAGCGGGGCAGATCTCCGTTTCCTGCCTGACCTGCCCCACCTCAACCTCGCTGACAGGCAAACCCCCCGTCCTGTGACCGTGTGGAGGACCTCGCCAGCCTCCTCTACCTCAACGAGTCCAGCACACTGCACACGCTGCGCCAGCGCTACGGCGGCAACCTCCTGCACACCTACGCCGGGCCCACCATGGTCATCATCAACCCACTGAGCTCCCCCTCCATGTACTCTGAGAAGGTGACGCTGTTGTGGGGGGACACCGGAGGGGACAAGCAGCTGGCACCGCGCAGAGGGTGTGGCGGGGGTAGCAGAGTGCTGACTGTCCCCGTCTCCATCAGGTGATGCACATGTTCAAGGGGTGCCGCAGGGAGGACACCTCCCCGCACATCTACGCGGTGGCGCAGGCCGCGTACCGCAGCATGCTGATGAGCCGCCAGGACCAGGCCATCGTCCTGCTGGGTGCCAGCGGCAGCGGCAAAACCACCAACTGCCAGCACCTGGTCCAGTACCTTGCCACCATCGCCGGCAGCACCGGCAAGGTCTTCTCCGGTGAGTCCCTTTGTGGGTGTCCCTTTGTCCTGCCTGCACACATCCCTTGCTTTGTGGTCACAGCCCCACGCACGTGGCAGCGGCCGAACACGCGCCAAGCGGGCTGGCACTGCGTCACGCCCGTGCCTCTGCCGCGCTCCTGGGGCCGCTGCGGTGCGAGGGAGCACCTGCCCAACCGGCTCTGGCCCCCTGCCCACCGCACAGCCCCTGCACTGCCCCGCTTCTCTTCCCGCAGCGGAGAAGTGGCAGGCTCTCTACACCATCCTGGAGGCTTTTGGCAATAGCAGCACCGGCATGAATGGCAACGCCACCCGCTTCTCCCAGATCATCTCTCTGGACTTCGACCAGGCTGGGCAGGTGGCGTCTGCCTCTGTACAGGTGAGGGGACCAGGGTGGTCCCCCCAGCATGGGAGCTGGTCCATCCTTGCCAGCGTGGCTCCCTGTGGTGTGGGAGCCAGTCCATCCTCACAAAAGTGTTGTCCAGAGAAGCTGTAACTGCCCCATCCCCTGTGGCAGGGTTCAAGGCCAGGTTGGACAGGGCTTGGAGCAGCCTGGGATGGGGAGAAGTGTCTTTGCCCATGGCAGGGGTTTAGAACTCGTTGATCTTTCAGGTGCCTTCCAGTTCAAACCATTCCATGATTCTCCTGGTGTTTCCTGCACTGCAAGCTCTGCCACAGATCCCCAGTCATGCTCGCAGTGCTCAGCAGCCTGCCATCCTCCTCTCATCCTTGTTCTCACCCAGATCAGATGGGCTCCCTGTCCTTGCTGAGTTAGTCCCAAAAACAGGGGATGTGTCTTCCAGACACCTCTCTGCTGTGATAGCAGCAGAGCCCTAAAAATCCAGGAGACATACTCCATGCTCTTCACCGAGGAGAGATGCTCATGGGCTGCTTGGGTGATGTTTGCATTCACATGATGCCCTGCAGTGGGAGGGAGACCCTCACAACTCTGTGGGGACCCTGGGCAGGCAGCAAGGATAAGGCTGGTGTGGGCTGGGGGGTCTTGTTGGGATTGGAGCACTTGGGGACGGTTCCCAACTGTCCCACCTCTGCCAGACACTGCTGCTGGAGAAGCTGCGTGTGGCCCGGCGCCCGGCCAATGAGACCACCTTCAATGTCTTCTACTACCTGCTGGCCTGCTCTGACAGCACCCTGCGGTGAGCTGGGGGGGATGGCACGGCCTCCATCGTGGGGGTGTCTCTGGGACCTCCCCCATGGGGCCAATCGTGGTGTTTGTCCCTGCAGGACTGAGCTTCACTTCAACCACCTGGCAGAGAACAATGTCTTTGGCATCATGTCCCCCTCCAAGGTTGGTGTTGTGGGGGGTGTAGGGGGAGATGAGGGTCTCTGGCCCATTTGGGTGCAGGGGGATGCAGAGCTGGGCTCCCAAACCAATTGCTCTTGTTGTTTTCCACAGCCAGAGGAAAAGCAGAAGGCAACCCAGCAGTTCAGCAAGCTCCTGGCAGCCATGAAGGTGATGGGCATCTCAGGAGATGAGCAGAAAGCCTTCTGGCTCATCCTGGGGGCCATTTACCATCTGGGAGCCGCTGGGGCAACCAAAGGTAACAAACTGGGAGCCATTAACCAGGGGAGGTTTGAGACTGATGCATGTGAGGGGTTCCAGGGGCATCTTGCAAACAGCTTGCAGTGCAGCCAAGCCCTGTGGGAGAGGGTGGGAGGCTGTGTCAGCTCAGGGACAGTGCCCTGCCACCCTGAGTGCTCTGGGGTACCCAACTTTGTCCCCACGGTCTGGGTGGTCTCATTAACTGCTGGGAATTGAGCATGCACAGACCCTGGGCTGGCCCCTGCCAACTTGGGGGAGTGGGGGGCTGGGTGGAGGCAGTTGGGGGAGTGTCCCCCATTCCCAATGTAACACCTTTCCCTCCGTCCTCGCAGACCCACTGGCAGATGGAGCTGGTAATGGGAGTGGGGAGGGCTCTGCTCTGAGGGGTGCCATGCAGTGCTTATTTGGAGGCTGAAATGGGGACTTGGGATGCTGTTGGTGTGCTGGTTCCAGCCTTGACCCTGGCTGGGTCCTGGGAGCCCCAGATTTGCCTGCTGCTTGTGAGGAGTGCTAACCCAGTCCTGTCAGCACCATTGGTGATGTGGGGCAGGGCTGCTCTGGCACACAGTGCTCACCATGGGTGTGAGTCTCCCACAGCACCAGCTTTGCTCTCCATTCCTGGGGATGGCAAATTTGGCTTTGGGGGCTGCTCTTCTCCCCCTGTGGCTTCTCTTTCTGCCTGTTGTGCCAGAAGCCCCTGTGGTGCTGCATGCTGGTGGGAGAGCTGGGCATGTCACCCCCAAAATGGGCACCTGGAGCTGGTGGCTGCACCCAGGGAATTTGCAGCCCTGCGGTAAAAGATGATCTGGGGATGAAGAGAGAGAGACCAGAGGGGTCTGGATGCACAGTGGGGTGCAGGGCTGGCCCATGGGGTGCTCTCAGGGCACTAGAGGGCAGCAGGGCCCTGCTGCAGCCACCACAGCGGGATGCTCAGGCAACTCCAGAGCCTCTCCATGGGAGCCTGCTATGGGGGGAACCCCAGATCCTGCTGTGGGGGGAGAGCACTGCTGCTTCCTGTTCGGGGCAGGCATCCCACCCCCAGATCTGTGCTGCTGCTGCTGAAGCCTCCCCTGCACTCCGTGGACACTGGGAGTGCTCAGAGCCAGCTGAGTTGCACCAACCCCGCAATTTCCTTGGCCCCGGGCTGGATCCACAAGTGATTCTCCTTGCCCTGGGGCAGAGCTGAGCTGTTCCCCAGCAGTGCCCATGGTGTGGGGGGCTCAAAGGGAAGGGACCCCCATGCCAGTCAGGGTTTGTCACTGCAGTGGTGCCTGGGGAGGGGGCAGGCATGGCATGTGCAGTGGCACGGTGGCAGGAGGGCGTTCCCGTGCCGTCGCGCGCCGTTGTTTCTAACCCCTGTCTCTGTTTGCATGGTGCATGCTGCCCTTTGCAATGCAGACGCCGACGAAGGTAAAGTCCCGTTCTCCACGTGTATCTCTGGCTTCCCCGTCCCCCGTGCCACCCTCATCCCGCTTCCGTGTCCCTGTGTGTCACCGTTAACCTGCTCCGTGCGCCCGTGTCTGTGTCTGCCTGGCTGCATTGCAGCTGTGTCACCAAGCAGGGACATGTCCCCACGTGGGGTGGCTCAGAGCCTCAGAGGTCCCTGGGTAGTGGTGGCAGTGGTGGCAAAAGGTCTGTGCTCCACACCAGTGTGGCCTCAGGCTCCACCCTGCAGCAGCACAAAGCCATTCACCCCTATCTCCTCTTAGACCCCAAATATCTCTGTCTCTTCAAACCCCAAAACACATGTTCCCACTGTGCCCATCATCCCCAACCTGCTCTGTGGGTCCCTAAGATCATCTCAGGCCTGTTTGGAAACACTCCCCATTTCGGGGGTGCCCTGCCTGGCCCTGAACCCCCTTCTCCACCCTTCAGCTGGGAGGAAGCAGTTTGCACGGCACGAGTGGGCTCAGAAAGCTGCGTACCTGCTGGGCTGCAGCCTGGAGGAGCTCTCCTCTGCCATCTTCAAGCACCAGTCCAAGGGCACCCTGCAGCGCTCCACCTCCTTCCGCCAGGGCCCTGATGAGTCTCCCCTGGGGGACAGTGGCACAGGTAGGGTGAGGTACAGGGGGGACAGTGGATGGCCCCAGGGGATGACGGGCTTGGGACACTCAGGCTTGCTTTGGCCAGGTCCCAAGCTGACAGCGCTGGAGTGCCTGGAGGCCATGGCAGCTGGCTTGTACTCCGAGCTCTTCACACTCCTCATCTCCCTCCTCAACAGGTATGTGCTGGGGGGCCAGCAGGAGAGCAGGGGGGGTGCCTGGCAGTACCCACTCACCCCACTGTGTCCCTTTGTGCTCCCCCCAGGGCGCTAAAGTCGAGCCAGCACTCGGTGTGCTCCGTGACGGTGGTGGACACCCCTGGGGCACAGAACCCCGAGCTGGCGGGGCAAAGTCGGGGAGCCACCTTCGAGGAGCTCTGCCACAACTATGCCCAGGAGCGCCTGCAGCAGCTCTTCCACCAGCGCACCTTTGCCCGCGAGCTGGAGAGATACAAGGAGGTACCAGGGACACCCAGGGCTGCCATTGCCTCCTCCACTCCTGCCCTCCCATACCCATGTGAACAATTCCTGTGTGTCCCCCTGATTTCTTACCCAGTGGTCACTGGACCAGTCAAACCGAAGCAGTTCTGACACGATCTCGGTGCCCAGGGCTTTCCCCAGGGCTCCTGTGCTAGCTGTGGAGCACAGCACAGGAGGGCTGGGCTGGGAGGTGGTGGAGTGGCTTTGGGTGGTGATGATGCTTCTTCTCCATCTCGGCACTGACAGCCCATGGGGACCCTTCCATGTGTCCTGGTCCTCCCTTAGCACTCCACACATCACCCCATCAAGACCAACACCCTGATGGACTCTCACTCCCTATCACTGCTACTCTGCAGTGTGGGCACTCACCTGCCTCTGTTCCCCCTCACCAGGAGAACATAGAGCTCGCCCTGGCTGATGCTGAGCCCAGCTCCTCTGGCTCCATAGCTGCTGTGGACCAGTCCTCACACCAGGCACTGGTAAGCACCTTCCACTCTTCCTTCCAGCCTCATCGTGGCAGCAGATGGGCAGCTTTTTGGCATTTTGGTGGTAGAGGGGAAGGAAAGGGGCTGTCCTGAATGCTTGGCCATGAGAGCATGGGTGCAAGTGTGTGTGCAGCCCACATACCTGGTGCACTCCCCAGCATGGTTCTCCCCTCTTGTCCTGGGAGCTGCCTGTGCTGTGGGCAGGGGGCCTGGAGACTGTGTGTGATTTCTGGGGTGCTCCAGTCCTCAAAGTGCTCTGGTCGCTGGGATGCTCTGGTCTCCAAGGTGCTCAGGTTCCTAGTGTCCATGGATCCCCAAGGTTCTCCCATCCCTGGGGTCCTCTAGTCCCCACTGGAGGAGGCTGTAGAGACCAGGGGTGCTGCTGGCACCATCCCTGTGCTGGGTTTCAGCCCAGCACTGCATTCCCCACCTCAGTGAGATGCACTACCAGCGTGTCCCATATGCACTCTTTCACTTCTGGGAAGGGAATCACTAAATCCACTCATACCGTGTGAGGTTGTGTGCTCCCTGGGTGGCCCAAAGCCCTGTGTCACCCCGTGTCCCTGCCCTGGGGGACCCTGGTGTGCCAGACTGGCTCCCAACATGGTGACCCTGCAGGTGCGGTCTCTGGCCCGCACGGACGAGGCGCGGGGGCTGCTGTGGCTTCTGGAGGAGGAAGCGCTGCAGCCAGGGGGCAATGAGGACACCTTGCTGGAGCGGCTCTTCTCCTACTACGGACCCCAGGAAGGGGCCAAAAAAGGTATGGAGGGGGGCCTGGGACCATGGGGATGTGTCCATTAGACCTGAAACAACCTCTCTAGTGGAAGATGTCCCTGGGGGCTTGGAATGAGAGATATTTTGGCCTTCCAACCCAAGCCATTCTGGGATTCTGTGACATGTCCCAGTGAAACACTGGTCCCCAGGGCTGTGCCCACTGGTTCTGTGTTTCCCTGCAGGGCACAACCCACTACTCCCCAGCGACAAGCCCCGGCACTTCCTCTTGGGACACAACTCAGGGACCAACTGGGTGGAGTACGACTCTACGGGATGGCTCAACTACGTCAAGCACAACCCAGCCTCCCAAAACGCCTCTGTCCTGCTGCAGGAGTCCCAGAAGTGAGCAGGGTCCTGGGGTGGGAGCATGGCAGGGGGGAGAGGTGACGCTGGGGGGTGACATGCCCTCTGTGCCCTGCAGGAAGGTGATCAGCAGCCTGTTTTCTGGGCGCGGTGGGTCGGCGCTGGTGCTGTCGGGCTCGGTGGCGGGGCTGGAGGGGGGCTCCCAGCTGGCCCTGCGCCGGGCCACCAGCATGCGCAAGACTTTCACCACCGGCGTGGCTGCCGTCAAGAAGAAATCCCTCTGCATCCAGATCAAGCTGCAAGTGGTGAGTGAGGGGATGCCGAGGGGGATCCCCACATCTGGCTGGGGCATCTCCGCACGTCACTTCTCACCCTGCTCTGCCGCACCCGCAGGATGCCCTCATCGACAGCATCAAGAAGTCCAAGCTGCACTTTGTGCATTGCTTCCTGCCCAAGGCGGGGGGCAGCGGGGACCCCCAGGCCGTGCTGTGCCGGCGGGTGAGTGGCAGCGAGCTGGAGCTGCCGGCAGAGCACTGCGAGGCCGGGCTGATGCAGCTGGACGTGCCCCTCCTGCGTGCCCAGCTCCGCGGCTCCCGCCTGCTCGACGCCCTCCGCATGTACCGCCAAGGTGAGCCCTGGCAGCAGCACCAGGGGATGGACAACACGGAGGTCCTGGCTGCATCTTCTCGCTGGAGGGCCAAAGACCCCCCCAGGAATCCCTTCAGCACATGCCTTTGCTCTGAACTGTGGAGCCTCTCCCCAGGGCAGTCCTATCCCTGTCCCCGCTCTCCTTCTGGGCTGTTATCTTACACTGGGGACAGGCATGGCCTTAATTGGGCGTCTGCCTTGGTGCCACTGGTTCCTGGCAGCAATCCCATTGGCATCCAGCCCCTGTCCCACTGGAACGAGAGCCTCTGGGTTGTGCTCAGCAAAGCATTTATCGATATGTTGGCTGGCCAGCCACGGCTGAGGGTTTATTGCTTGGAGGCTGGACCCTCCTGCCATGATTGGAAATCTGTGCCACCTGCACACCTCCTGCATCGATGGCTGTGACCCGCAGACCATGCCGGGGTCAATGTCCCCATCAATACCTCATTGTTAATTAAGATATGGAGGCTCAGTGCTGGAGTTGGCTGTGGCTCAGAGTGGAGCCAGATCAGGACTTGCGCAGGCAACACGTGTCGCTGCTCTCCCCCTGAGGAGGGATCTGGCCGCTTTTTTCTCAGATCCCAGCCAAAATTGCTGGAGGATGCAGCCAAGGAAAACCTCCCGGGGAGGCCAAGGGCATTCCAGTTATGCCTGACCCCATGGGGAGCTTGTGTCACATGGGCTGACCCTGTCAGCTTTCCCAAAACACGAGCCTCAGCATGTCAGGGCACGTGGGGCTGTCCCTGGCCATCCCCTGGGCATCCACACAGCCCCACTCTCCCTTGCTTCCCCAGGTTACCCCGACCACATGGTGTTTGCGGAGTTCAGGCGGCGCTTTGATGTCCTGGCCCCACACCTGACCAAAAAGCATGGGCGCAACTACATCGTGGTAGATGAGAAACGGGTACGTGCCCCATGTCAGAGTCACTGCTGCAGTCCAGAGTGTCCTGCACCTCAAAGTGCCTGGCCCTGACACCTTTCCCTCCCTGCAGGCAGTGGAGGAGCTCCTGGAATCGCTGGACCTGGAGAAGAGCAGCTACCACATGGGCTTGAGCCGGGTATGGTGCCTGACACCAGTGGGTGTGGGCAGAGCTGTGCGTCATGGCACGGTGGGACAGCAAAAGGGCAGCACTGTTTGCTCCCACCCACAGCATTCCTCCTGCCTGGGGAATAAAACCCCATGGTGGGACAGGACCGGTGGCTGCAGAGGGGAGAGACACATCCCCACCAGCGGGAGGGTGGCACGGTGTAGCTGGAGGGATGCAGGTACCCATCGCTGTCCTGCTTCCCTCCCACAGGTGTTTTTCCGGGCTGGATCACTGGCCAGGCTGGAGGAGCAGCGGGACACGCAGACCAGCAGGAACATCACCCTTTTCCAAGCGGCGTGCAGGGGCTTCCTGGCACGGCAGCACTTCAAGAAGAGAAAGGTTCGTCCCAGCGACTCTCCCCTCCCTGCTCTGCTGCACAATTTCGCCTAAAATGGGCAGTGCAGCCTTTCTGCGCCTCCTGGGCCAGCACCTCCTCCTCCCGCCTCCCCCCGAGCTGTGGGGGGCCAGGGGGAACCGGGGGGCCAGGGGGAACCGGCAGGGAGGCTGCTGGGCATCGCCGCGGAAGGATGAAGCCACACTTCAGCTCCTACTTTTATCATTAGAGAAGGTGTAAAATAGGCATTTTACAGCACCTCACCTTCCCGGGATTAGCATTTAGAGGGGCTGGAGTGGATCAAACAGCAGATTTGCTGGTGCAATTAGCCCAAATGCTAATGAAGGGAAGCATGCTGGGGTGCTGGCAGGGATGCTGAGCACCCGCACACTTTGCTTTGCCCTGCTGGTGGCCCCGTGCTGACCCCGTGCCCTGCACAGATCCAGGATTTGGCCATCCGGTGCGTGCAGAAGAACATCAAGAAGAACAAAGGGGTGAAGGATTGGCCCTGGTGGAAGCTTTTCACCACAGTGCGACCCCTCATCGAGGTGCAGCTCACCGAGGACCAGATTCGTGGCAAAGACGTGGGTATCCGTGCTGGAGCATGCTGGAGGGCTTGGGGGAGCCTTACTCTTGGATAGGGCCCTGCAGTGGGGTGGGATGCAGGACCCCATGGTGGGGTCACATGCAGAAGCTGATGGTGGGGTGGGATGCAAGACCCTGCAGTGGGGTGGGAAGCAAAACCCAGGGAAGGGTGGGATGTAATATCCTGTGGTATGCTGGGATACTGGATCCCACAGTGGGTTGGGATGCAGGAACTCATGATGGGGTGAGACACAGGACCACGTCTGCCCGAGCCCCGTCAGCGCCAGGCTCGAATTGCTCCCTAATTTGTGAATCAGCATGTCAAGAGCTGGCTGTTGCTTGAGCCCAATTACAAGCGTGGAGAATGGAAATGAAACCGTGTGCCGAGAGGCAAATGCGGGGGCTCCATTCGCATTGGCAACCAGACACTGGTGCACCCGCTGAGCACGGAGCTGCTGCCTGGCTCAGCTTTCACCCTGACCTGCTGGGGACAGGCACCTGGGTGGGGGCACCTGGGCAGGAGCACTTGGGCCCCCCTGCTGCCCCCCCAGCCTATGCTGGGACCAGAGGAAGAGGGAGGAAGATGTTAGCAGCCAGACATGCTTCCACAGCACTGGCTGGTGGTCCCTGAGCATCCTGGTGGGCCCCCTCCCTCCCCACCTGGGATGAGTGCACCCAAATCCTTCAGCAAGCTGCTGATGGGTAGAGTTGCTCCCACCTCCTCTCCCAGGGGATGTGGGTACCCCTCTGCAGCTTTTCTGGGACTGCCTGGTATTCTGACACCATTTATGGGGTTGAAGTGCTCATGACAGCGGAGCGGGTTGGGGAAAGTCCCTGCCCAGCCCTTGGCAAGGGAGAGGAGCCCTGGGGAGCCCCCACCCTGCCCATCCTGCGCTGGGGGGTGCTGGGGAGGGGCAGAGAGCTGCCAGCCTCCTACCCGCCAGCCTCTTCCCTGCGCCTGCCCCCTCCCTCACCACCCGCTCTGTTGCAGGAAGAGATCCAGCAGCTGAAGAGCAAACTCGAGAAGGTGGAGAAGGAGCGTAACGAGCTGCGGCTCAACAGCGACCGCCTGGAGAGCAGGGTAGGTCTTTGCCGCTGCTGGGATGGGGTATGGTGCCCGGCCCAGTCTGTGGTCCCATTGTCCCTGCCACCCCCAGATCACAGAACTGACATCGGAGCTGACGGACGAGCGGAACACTGGCGAGTCTGCCTCCCAGCTGCTGGACGCTGAGACGGCTGAGAGGCTGCGGGCTGAGAAGGAGATGAAGGACCTGCAGGTAAATGTGCCTCTCCCTGGCCTCGCAGTGTCTCGTGTCCCTTTCAAGTGCTCACCACAGCCACGTCCCCTCCCAGGCCAAGTACGATGCCCTGAAGAAGCAGATGGAGTCGATGGAGATGGAAGTGATGGAGGCTCGGCTCATCCGGGCGGCCGAGCTCAACGGGGAGCTTGACGATGATGATTCAGGTACTGTCCTGCCTCCAGTGCTGGCTGCTGGCACACCCTGCAGTGTCCCACTCTCCCTGTGCCACCCCCACAGCCCCTTGGTGACCACGTTTCCCCACACAGGTGGCGAATGGCGGCTGAAATACGAGCGGGCAGTGCGGGAGATTGACTTCACCAAGAAACGGCTGCAGCAGGAGCTGGAGGATAAGCTGGAGGTGGAGCAGCAGGGCAAGAGGCAGCTGGAGCGCAAGGTGAGTGAGGGCTCAGCTCTGGGGACTCCCTGGTTTTCTCAGCATGGCTAGGACAGCAGGGACATGGTGGCATCCCAGAGCCCTCACTGCCTGCCTGTGCCTGCAGCTGGCAGACCTGCAGGCGGACAGCGAGGAGAGCCAGCGGGCACTGCAGCAGCTGAAGAAGAAGTGTCAGCGCCTGGCTGCTGAGCTGCAGGACACCAAGCTGCACCTTGAGGGACAGCAGGGACGCAACCATGACCTGGAGAAGAAGCAGCGGAGGTGGGGACCATGTGCTGACTGCGAGGGGGACGTGGGGGACACGCCTCTGGCGAAGTGGCATTACCATTTTAGCAGGGATTTGGGCACCTCACCAGCTCCTACTTGGCTGAAGTGTCTCCAGCGGGATGGGGCTGCCTGAGTTGGATGTGTTTGTTGTGGAGGGGATCCCCATACCCTTTTGGGGGGCCCAGAGCTTAGTGATGCCATGTGGGGTCATGCTCCATGGTGGAGGTTGCTAGTGCCCTGTATTTCCACTCAGCACACGCTGCCATCCCGTCCCCTCTCCCAGCCCCAAAGTTTGCTAACGTTATTAAGCAGCAGGGACGCTTTCATCTCATTATGGTAATGATCACACACACAAATACAGCGAGAGAATCCAATCTAATTAATTTCAATTTCCGCGGATTGGAGTCTATGCTAATGCAGCTGTTTATTACCCAGCACAAGGAAAAATGGGGATTAGCTGCCGAGGTGTTTAACGCAGGTCACAAACTCAAGCACAGGGTTGTTTTCCAAGCCCCAAAGGCAGTGATTTCAGAGCAAACCCGGCTGATCCCATCCCAGGGGCACTGGGAGAGACTGCCATGGTGCTGCTTGGCTACAGGCTGTACTGAACATTCCTTCAATAGGAGCTCCAGGGGGTCATGTGTCCCCTCTGGGGATGGGACTGGTGCCATGTCACGTGGAATCCCAGCACTGGGATGCAGCTGTGGGAGCCAAGGTGCCACAAGAGCCCATCTATCCTAGAGACCCCTCCATGTCCTCCTTGGTGGGTTTGGTGTACCCTTGGGGTAGCCAAGCCCCTGCCATTGGTAGCCACAGTTCCATGGGCACATGCTGGTCCTGGAGAACGGCTGAGGTGCTGCTGGGGTCGGTGCTGCACTCCCCATTAGCACGGAGTGAAGGTGTCATAAGGAGAGTCTGAGTGACTCGTGCCGCCGTGCTGGCAATCAAAGACTCATCACCAGTGTGTTTCACACAAGAACCCAGCAGCACACTGCCCTTCCCAGTGCTTGCTGCTGAGGGAAGAGGACGCTGGGTGCAGTGCCCCTGGCATAGGGCTGAGGATCAGTCCCCGGGGTGCTGGGTGCTCACCCCACTCTCCCCATGCAGGTTTGACAGTGAGCTCTCACAGGCACATGAGGAGGCACAGCGGGAACGCTTGCAGCGGGAGAAGCTGAGCCGAGAGAAGGATGTGCTGGTGGCTGAGGTCTTTGGCCTCAAGCAGCTGCTGGAGGTGAGTGGCCCCCGGACCCTCCCCAGCCTCCCAACCACTGGAGCCTCGGGCTGATGGTGACCCCGTCTCTCGCAGGACAAGGACTCAGACATCACAGGGCTGACACAGAAGGCAGAGGCGCTGGAGGCAGAGCTGCAGGACATCTCCTCCCAGGAGTCAAAGGATGAAGCCTCCCTGGCCAAGGTGAAGAAACAGCTGAGGGACCTGGAGGCGAAGGTCAAAGACCAGGAGGAGGAACTGGATGAGCAGGCTGGAACCATCCAGATGCTGGAGCAGGTACGGCAGGGAGGGGCGAGGTTTCTGGGTGGGGTGGTTTCATGCAGGGCTGTTATTACCTGGGCCAGGCTTGCCTGGGAAGAGGAGGCGGTCGCCCTGAGCCCAGCGTCAGGCCCGGCATCACCGCGGCCGACACGGCTCCCGGCCCTCCGTGCCATGGCCCAGCAGGTCACCATGGGGCGGGCAGCCCAGCTGGCCTCAGAACGGGGGGTTTTCAGGGTGAGTGGTGACTGGAGAGTGCCATGGAGAGGTACCCACATCCCCTTTGCTCTAACCACACCCCCACCATTTGCAGGCGAAGCTGCGGCTGGAGATGGAGATGGAGAGGCTGCGGCAGACCCACGCCAAGGAGGTGGAGAGCCGTGATGAGGAGGTGGAGGAGATCCGGCAGTCATGCCAGAAGAAGGTAGGGCTCTGCTGTGGCCCCTTTGCCCAGGAGGGCCTGGGATGCATCCCCATGCCCTGGCCGGGTGCTGGGAGCTGCCAGCCGGGCACCGTCACGCAGCACCCAGCTCCCATGCAGCCAACCACAGCCCAGCTCCACCGGTCCAGCGGGTCCGACCAGTTCTTCTGCTGCCCAGGCCAGTGCATGCCGGGCTCTGTGCCTCTGGTTGTGCAAACACCCAGCTCGTGGGGTCACCCAGTGTCCCCAGGGGACACGTGAGGAGGGGGGTCATGACCCCTCCCCGCCACCCTGACCAGCTGCCCCCTGGCTGTCCCCAGCTGAAGCAGATGGAGGTGCAGCTGGAGGAGGAGTATGAGGACAAGCAGAAGGTGCTGAGAGAGAAGCGGGAGCTGGAAAGCAAGTTATCTGCTGTCAGCGAGCAGGTGGGTTGAAGGGCAGCTGGGCACCTGCCTTGCTTTGGGGACCTTGAGGTGGCCATGGTGGGGTGGACACCCCTCTGGCATGGAACCATGGCGAAGTTTCTCCTGCCACAGGCCAACCAGCGGGACTTTGAGACGGAAAAGCGCCTGCGCCGGGACCTGAAGAGAACGAAGGCGCTGCTGGCTGATGCTCAGATCATGCTGGACCACCTGAAAAACAACGCACCCAGCAAGAGGGAGATCACCCAGCTCAAGAATCAGGTGTGCATCTAGACACTCCTCATGCTGCAGGCTTTGAGGGACACAGGGTGTCCCTGTTCCCTGGCCAGGCACTGAAATATATCCCTGCAGCTGGAAGAGTCAGAGTTCACCTGTGCAGCCGCTGTCAAGGCCCGCAAATCCATGGAAGTGGAGATCGAGGACCTCCACCTGCAGATCGATGACCTTGCCAAGGCCAAGGCAGCGGTGAGTGGGTTGTAGTTGTGATGAACCATGGTGGGGCCATGCCCCATTTGCACCAAGGTGGCCCCACGCTGTTTGGAGTGGGTTTTGGGGGGTGAATGCCCCATTCTTGGGATGCACTGAGAGACACGTGTGGCTCCCTGCAGCTGGAGGAGCAGCTGAGCCGTCTGCAGCGGGAAAAGAATGAGGTGCAGAGCCGGCTGGAGGAGGATCAGGAGGACATGAATGAGCTGATGAAGAAGCACAAGGCAGCTGTGGCCCAGGTGAAGGGGAAGCAGCAGCTGCACCCACTCCACCCACTCAAGATGTCTCTCTTGGAGCCAGCACAGTGGGATCCCCACTGATGGCCCTGGTGTGTCCTGCAGGCATCCCGGGACCTGGCACAGATGAATGACCTCCAGGCACAGCTGGAGGAGGTCAGCAAGGAGAAGCAGGAGCTGCAGGAGAAGGTGAGGATGCACCCTGAGTGAAGCTAGGGCAATGAGGAGCACCCAGAGACCTGCTGCCCACGCCATGTGGGGCCCTCTGCACTGTGGGGGTGCAGAGCAGTCCAGTGGGAAGCTCTCCATCAGGATGGGAGCAGCATGGCCAGCAGCTCTCCTCCAGGACAGCATGGCTGTGGGGCAGGGTGATTGTGGTTGAGGCTGAGGCTGTTCCCTCTCCTGCAGCTGCAAGGTCTGCAGAGCCAGCTGGAATTCCTGGAGCAATCCATGGTGGACAAGTCACTGGTGAGCCGGCAGGAGGCCAAAATCCGCGAGCTGGAGACCAGGCTGGAGTTTGAAAGGACGCAAGTCAAGCGCCTGGAGGTAGTCATGGTGCTCTCCCTCTGCTCCAGCTGGGACAGGGGTGCAACAGGACCATAACAAAGCTTCCTGAGGGTCTGCTGAGCACCTCCCCTCCCCAGGACCCACCACGCTGCAGCCCTCCCCCTCTGGCAGCCCACCCCTGTCTCCACAGGGAAGGCTCCCTGCAAGCACTGATAACAGTAATCCACCGCCCAGCTCGGCAAAGTGCTGCTCTTTCCCTGCATCGACTTAGGGAAATTATAGACTCCCCAGTCCTGCGAATGCAGCCTGTTTTATATTCTGCCTCCGCAGCTCTGCCAGGGAGCGCGGCAGCTTAGCTCTCCTCTTCATATTTTCCAAGCTATTATTTCCTTCCCCACTCTCTCTGCCGGGGCCATAAATATGCAGCGGCTGGCTCAGTGGCTGGGGAAGAACGGGAGCTATTTTTTCCCTACGTTACATGTTTTAATTACTTCACACACAGTTAAATCTATTTTTCCAATTCAACAAAGCCCTTGCTGTTGTTCTGCCCCTTCCCTGGCCTTGGGAGGGGGTGGTTTCTCCTCCATCTCCTTGTGTGAATTGACGGGAGTGGAATCCATCCTCACATCATCCCCTGGTGGGTGTCGGGGTGAGGGTGGACCTGCAGGGTGAGAGGTGGGTGGGGATGTTTGGGGTGACCCCGCTGCTTGGCAGAGCCTGGCCACGCGGCTGAAGGAGAACATGGAGAAGCTGACGGAGGAGCGGGATCAGCGCGCGGCCGCCGAGAACCGGGAGAAGGAGCAGAACAAGCGGCTGCAACGGCAGCTCCGCGATGTCAAGGAGGAGATGGGCGAGCTGGCCAAGAAGGAGGCAGAAGCCAGCCGCAAGAAGCACGAGCTGGTGAGGCACCCATGGTAGGGCCAGGCAGGGGACAAGGGGGTGTTCCCTAAGGAATGTGGCTCATCCCACTCCCTCCTTGCAGGAGATGGACCTGGAGAGCCTGGAAGCTGCCAACCAGAGCCTGCAGTCAGACCTGAAGCTGGCCTTCAAGCGCATCGGGGACCTGCAGGCAGCCATCGAGGATGAGATGGAGAGTGACAGCAATGAGGACCTCATCAACAGGTGAGGGCAGCTGGGACCGGCTCCCACGCATCCCTGGGGGTCACCGCTTGCCCTCGCCACTTCAGAAATGCCATGGAGACCCCTTGGCTCTGCCTGGCCCTGGCAGGATGCTGTCTGTGCATCCATCCATGCATTGTGCACACGTGCATCTGTCCATGCATTCGTGTCTGTCCATCTGTGCATCGGGCACCTGTGCACACAGGCATCGGTCCGTGCATCTGTGCATCCATCCCTCCGTCCACCATCAGCCCCCATGAGTTTCAACCACTTGTGGAGGTGCATGAAATGCATCCAGAATCCTGCCAGCTGGCTGGAAACAGCCCAGGGAGCCCCAGGAGCCAGGGCAGCACAAGCTGGCAGAAGGTTTGGGATTGCTGGGATCCAGCCCAGCCCAGGATAGAATTATAGAATCATACAATTGTTTAGGTTGGGAAAGACCTCTGAGATAATCGACTCAAGCCATTAACCCAGCTCTGCCATGTTAGCACTAAATCATGTCTCCAAGTGCCACATCCACACATTTTTTTAATGTTTCCAGGGAATGACTCCACCATTTCCCTGTTAAAATGCCTGACCACCTTTCTGGTGAAGAAATTTTCCCTAGTATCCAAGCCAAACTTTCCATGGTACAACTTGAGGCTGTGTCCTCTTGTCTTGTTGCTTGTTGCTTGTTCCTTGGAAGCAGTGCCCGACTCCCCAGGCTACAACCTCCTTTCAGGAAGTTGTAGGGAGTGAAAAAGTTCCCCCGATCCTCCTTTTCTCCAGGTTGAGCCCCCCCCAGTTCCCTCAGTTGCTCTTCATCAGACCCTTCCCCAGCTCTGCTGCCTTTCTTTGGATCACTCCAGCACCCAACCTGGGATGCTGGGATCCAGCTGGATGCAATCCCACTCCAGGGGCACAGGGCAGCCTCACCTCCCTCCCCTGACCCTTCCCCATAATTTAATTTGCCCACATCTGTTTCCCACCCACTTAGTATTTTTATTTTTTTTAATTTTCCTTTCATTTGATTTCTTTTCTGTTGTGTTTCTCCCCCCCTGCCCCCTCCAACCCCTCCCAGTTTGCAGGACATGGTGGCAAAGTATCAGAAAAGAAAGAGTAAACTGTGAGGAGCATCTCTTTCCTTCCTCCCCTAACCCCCACCTCACCCCCAGGGCCGGGGTCCCGCATGCCACTGGCCCAACTCTGCATGCCCTAACAGCACCCACGGCGCGGCACAGCACGGCACATAACCACATCCCACGCATGGGGACGGGATGAGCCCCTGGGATGGGGTGGGGGGTGATGCTCTGCCGTGGCTGATGACAAATGTGTCAGCATGGGGCAGCAGTGGAGCCCTGCTGCCACTAATTAATACCCACGTCACTCCTGCAACCTGGGTCCTGCTTAACTAATGGCATGTTTGCCTGGACATAAACTGTGTTTGATGTGGAGCTTAATTCCATTGATCAGAAAACCTTAGCTACCCCCAGAACTTGTTTTCAGGGCTTGTTGGGGTTTTTTTGGTGTTGTTCTGTGGTTTTTTTTGTTGGTGAATTTTTTTCCCCCCAAGCCCAGTGTTGCTGAGATATTTTGCAGAGGAGGGAGATGCACAGGATGGAGAGGAGCTCATTGCTCTGACTTTAATGTCCCTTGTGCTGTTTGCCTTCGTTCCCAGGCAGGGAATAAGCCCCAAACCAGGTGGATAAAAGGCCATTTAAGATCCTGTGATACATCCCATCCTTTCCTTGGAGTGGCCTGGTGGGAGCAGGGTGGCAAGGGGGGACCACACTGCTTCAATTTCCGTATAGATCCCAAGGGTGCTACCATAGCCCTAATGAAAGCAGTAAGCAGTGAGGTATTAAGAGAGATTTATTCAGGGATGCTTTTAGCGTGGAGGAATGGATTTTGCAATGCAGACAGCACCTTCTTTCTAAAGGCAATCAATATGGTTACGAGCGGCCGTTATAAATTAGACGGTTTAAGCCAGATAGGGCTTTTTTTACGCTGGGACGTAAATCAGGGGCTCTCGGGCATGGCAGGGCTGTAAATCTGCCCAGTGTGCTCCTGCGCCCGCCGTGCGGGAGTCGTTTCTGTTCCGCCTGCTAAACTCCTGTTTACCCGGGGCCATCAGCATTGCTCTTCCTCGCTGTAAGTCTGCACTCGACGGTGGCCTACGAAATGAACCCACTTATTTCCTTCCCAGTCCTGGAGCTGGAAATCTCCTGTGTTTCTGGAGCTGTGCCCTGCCTGCTGCCCCAAAGCCAGGCCTTGCTGTCTCCAGCTCTGGAGCCATGCAGTGACAGAGAGATGTTGGGCAGAAGGTGCAGGAACCCCTTGGGCAGCCACAGGGGTGGTTTGGGGGTGCTTCAGGGAGCCCTTGGCTTGCAGGTTGAACCATGTGTGTGCAGATTATGTCCCACAGATGAGGAAGAACCATAGGAAGGGGTTTCACCCGCATCAGGGTACACAGGCAGTGAGTACTGGAGAGGTTCAGTGACTTCCAGTGCACTTCCATCTCTTGAGCACCCAAAAACTCACTTGCCCCTTGCTGACCTCTTGCTTTCTTCTACCCTCACCCGCTCCTCCGGCAGTGATGGTGACTCAGATGTGGACTCAGAGCTGGAGGAGCGTGTGGATGGGGTGAAGTCTTGGCTCTCCAAGAACAAAGGCTCCTCCAAAGCGCTCTCGGATGATGGCAGCCTGAAGGGCAGCAGGTGGGTGCAGGGCTGGTGGGCACAGGGCTGGTGGGCAGAGGATGGGCTGAGCTCTGCTGGGACATGGACAGGGCTTGTGGCTGCCCGGGATGTGGCGTTTGGTGCTGTGTTTCCACCTGGTGCTTGTGTGGATGGCCAAGGAAGGGTTAAGCAGCTCTGTCTCCACTGGGGACATGTGTCCCCCCACCCAAGGGAGCCTCCCTGGTCCCCCTTCCCTCATCCCACCCTGAAGGCATACAAGGCATCCACAGCCTCTACCCCATCTGCCTCTAGTGCTGGGCTTTAGCTCTGTGCAGCATTCCATCACTCCAAGATTGATTCCCTGCTCCATCCTGCCCTTCCCTGTAGCCCTACCCCATCCCTCCCCACACCTCTCAGAAAATGTTGGCAGAGGCGGGGGACCATGCCCAGGTGCACCCACGGCATGGGGCAGGGGCACACAGCCCCACTCCCCTTCCCCTTTCTCCTGGAAAACGCTTGCCTGCTGAGCGCAGATTGCTTTTATCCAAACCCAATTTCCTAGCAGGGCTCCAGGAGTCCCAGGGGACTCCCTCCCTCTGCCGAGCAAGGGGGAAAGATCTGAACTGGTTTCTGTTAATTGGTTTAATTTATTCAGCGGTGCAGATGTAAAACATTTTGTTATTGGAGATAATTCCACCTTTTCTGAAGTCGGGAATCAAACGCAGCGGCTCCAGGTAGCCGACAATGAAATAAATTGAAGGCAACACTTTAAAGGGGAATCAAAGTGCTGGGCTAGAACAATTCCCACATTTACATGACATTTTTTTCCACGATGCCATTTCCCGCTGACGCACATTGCCGAGGCCGCTCTCCCGGCCCCTCCCTCGCCGCTCACCTCCGTGTCTCTCTTGTCTCCCGGTGCGTGCGGGGCGCGGTGCAGGTCAGCCCCTCCGGACGGCCCCGAGCCCGAGGAGCGGCCGGTGTCCGTGTTGAGCTCCCTCAGCTACAGGAAGCGGCCTGGCCTCAAGGACTCCATAGGCGGCCGCGGGGATGAGCAGACGCTGTTCAGCGCCCTGGGCGAGCGGCCGCCTTCCCCCGAGCGCCCTCCGCGCAGGGCGGCCCGCGGCGAG